TGGAGGAAGTTGTCAGCCATCCAACCTTTGATGGATTCTAAGCACACATTTAGAATCTGCAGCTTAGAAACATCTTCAGGTTTAAAAGACACATATATCTGGATGTCGTCTGCATAGCAGTGGTAGCGAATGTCCTCAAAGGGGCTCAAAATGTAGAAACTTAACATCACCCTCTGATTAGGTTTATGTTGGTGGCGACTAATTTCTATGTTCACTTAACAAGGGGAAATCAGTTGGACTAAACGACTAATTTAAAACAAGAAAAACTTGAATATCAAATTAATTTGAGAACCGTTTATAGGACAAGGCCAAAAACTCTCGAAACAAAAGCATTTGAAACCATTAGTCGCATTCTTCAGTAGGGAATCGAGCCACTTAACTGTGCAGCACTTTACATCATGGTTTCCAAATGTTGCACGTTTCTTCCGCGTTTATCCAAGATCTAATTCTTTCACTTTTAAAATAACCAACAATAATTATTAAAAAGAATTAACAAAAAGACTCTGCCTAGACTAACAGATTCATGGTGTTTCTGATCAACGATGGTCCATCTTGTGGCAGATGGTTGCATAACGTTGCGCAACAATTTACCAGCATTTGGCATCAGTGGAAATGTTTAATAATTGGATTAAATGACTAGAACGTCTGGCACGACTGACAGCAGCAACAGTTAATTGACTAGTTTTACACATTCCTACTTCTGATGTCAACACTTCAGCTGTCTTTGTGAAATTGCTTTTAGTTTGGTATCACATTATCAGAGACCTTGCAAACTGACAGTTTCTCCTCTTGCAGGTGAGACAAGATGGGAAATTTTGCTAGCCTTTTTAGTAAATTGTTTGGAAAGAAGGAGATGAGGATCCTGATGGTAGGACTGGATGCTGCTGGAAAGACCACCATCTTGTACAAGCTCAAACTGGGAGAAATTGTTACCACAATCCCTACCATTGGTGAGTCATCCCCCACACTGTAATGAGAATTTCATTGCTTGATACAAAATATTGAAATCTTGGCATTAAAAAAAAAAAAAGCCAACACACTGTTGAAACTTGTTTAAACCTTCCATCTCTCACTTTAGGTTTTAACGTTGAGACGGTAGAATACAAAAACATCAGTTTTACAGTGTGGGATGTCGGCGGTCAGGACAAGATCAGGCCGCTTTGGAGGCATTACTTCCAAAACACACAAGGTGAGATAACTTATATCTTTTCCATGTTGGTGTATAAGAATTAGTTCATGGTTGCCCTCAAAACTGACCCTTTTTACTTTTTCAGGCCTCATCTTTGTAGTGGACAGTAATGACAGAGAGCGAGTGGGTGAGGCGAAGGAGGAGCTGATGCGAATGCTGGCTGAGGATGAGCTGAGAGATGCCGTGTTGCTCGTGTTTGCAAATAAACAGGTGAATTTGTGTGTTTGAGAAATCAAAGAAGTCACCATATTTAACCCCCCCAGATGAAACTGTGCAGGATATTCAGAATTCATTACTAGAAATTACAGTTGTACTTGTATCAGGTGAAGGTTATTGTATTTATTTGAATACATCTTAATTTAAAATCACTCAGGAAGGTAAAAACTACACATCTGGCTGCATTACCTCACAACTACTTGCAAAAAATATATAAGATGTAAACATCTTATACATTTTTGAAATGTAAGGTCAATAATGATACAGATCGTGGTTTCAACTCTCCTCCTTTTTTTTTTTACTTCAAAATAAAAGCAAATTTTATTCGAGGTAACCTATCCAGGGGACGCTTGTTATTAACGGTTAATTTCTGCACCTGTAGGACCTGCCCAATGCCATGAATGCAGCTGAGCTCACAGACAAACTGGCCCTGCACTCCCTGCGTCACCGTAACTGGTATATCCAAGCCACATGTGCTACTACTGGAGACGGTCTCTACGAGGGTCTGGACTGGCTTTCAAGCCAGTTAAGGAACGCAAAATGATCAATCACTGCCAGCTCTGTGCGGTGTTTTGGGAGATTGCACTGGTCCTGGTCTCACGCTCTCCTCTTTTTTTTTTCTTCCCCTCTCTATTTTTTCTGAAGCGTCGGACCTTTTGGCTAGTGCTCCCCTGCATTTGTACTGTATGTGTGTGTTTGAGTATTTTTGGATGAACGGACGAACGACTGTGCATGTACGTGTGAGCTAAGTCGGAGCAGCCCTGCTGTGCCTTGAACACAGTTAGCTCTCAAGACATCTCATTCCTCCAGTGTCAGCACATCCAGAGGCACTGGTTCCCACAAAGCAGAGAACAACACAACATTATTGCTGTGGGTCATCTGTCAAGAATGTTTAGAATCACAAAAACCAAAAGGTAACAACAATTAGGTTTTTACATCAGCCTGTCATATTAAAATTAAGACCATTTTCACAACTGTTTTTTTTTCTCCTCTCAACCTTGCAAGATGCACTGTGCTATGTAACCAGTGTCATTTTTGGTAAAATAAAGTATAATGTGTTACATCCTGAAATAGTTCATGTTCTTTTGAAAATTATGCATTTTGACATTTTTAGGGACTGGATAAAGTTACATTAAAAAAATCTTTTAATTCCATAAACGTGTAGATCCTGTTGATAATCAGATTGTAATCGGAGTCGGTGTGTCTGTGAATCTTCCACATTAACTTCCTTAGATTTTACAAAATTCAGGTCACATCATTTTGCTTCTGATAGTTATCTGTTATTGCGCCTGTCTTTTCATGGGATCTTAAGGTTTTTTTTAGCAGAGGATTAGAAGAAGCATCATCACTGGGTCTACAAAAGGCAATAAATGTTGCATGTTTACATGTGTGGAGGAGAGTGTTGTAGCTACTAGGTCATTGGTGGATGTGTGTGGGTTTCATCCACTCCACTCCTTGGAACAACAAGGCCTTTTTTAGAGTTGCTCCCACTCTGGCTTTTTATTTACTGGTAGATTTATTTTCTCTTGTATGTAGCTCCTTGGTTTAGGGTCTCTTTTCTATTATATTATCTTTTGTTAGTCTTTATCCACGCATGGCCTGGTGTGGGATTTTTATTTTGTTGCTCTCGGGACCAGTTGGTTGGTTTCAGGAAGGGTTCATTGTGTTTGGTTCAGCACGAGGTCACCAGAGGGGACGCGCATATGCTCTAGACCACATTGTCAGCACTGTGACAGACGGTACATTTGTACGACAAGTGTATCAGTCAGTTCTGTAAATGCTTTCTTAATGCTTCAGTGTTTTCTCTGCATGTAGCTGAGGTGCTTCTCTTGGTGTCATTTACGTCACATCGGGCCATTTGCACAACCTCATCAGCTTGCACAACACAGGGCTGTGCGAAGACGGCAGTTTATCTCTCAGCTGTTACAGAGAACCCGTACACAAATACGCTCCCAATTGCTCACACCAGCAGACAGCTGAAGTGTCCCAGTAACACTGTTACAGCAGTTCAACCAGTGACATCATCTTTTCCCTTACACCCACTAATTCTAAAGGATCCCGCATTTAGAAAGAAACCAATCACCCCCACATTCCTTACTGAGTTACGACAACTCTAAGGTCATACCTACTGACCTCAAAAGGGAAAATTAATGTTCCCTTTTTGTTTTTCTAAAACTGGACTTTTTTTTTTTTTTTTTAAAATAAAGTTTGCTTAAATGAATGACTAACCTTTGGGCTTTCTTCATCCTATGTATCATTTACTAAACAGCAAGAAATACAGATGTGTGTGTGCGTGTGTATATATATAAAAAAAACCTGTAAGAAAATGTATTTTAATGTCATCCACCTGCTCTTGTTCAGATGTGAAGCTTTAATTTTCGTTTCTGTGAAAAATACATGGTACGTGCATATGTATTTCTTAATTATCTTTTATGCTTTTTTTTTAAAAACCCATCTTGTAACGTCTGATAAATGCACTATAATAAAGAGATCTCTATTGTAAGTCTTTCTTCCTGACTTCTTTTTTTACAAATCAAGTCGGTGTGATTAAATTCTTCCAAAGCTGCAATGTCACATTTAATATTGCATTAAAAACTGATTAAATAACCTAGTTGACATAATTCTGAGGGTCAGCACAATATGAACTTTAGTCAAAATCGCAGGCATAGTTTGGGTTATAATAGCTTGTTGCTGAAATATTTATGGCCTTAATCATTTCTATTCATGGTGATGTCAAGAATTGTAATTCTTTTTGAGTCACCTTTTCCTGCTTAGTAAAGTCCGCTAGTTGTTAGTCATCAGACTTAAATATCAGATTTAGAGTTGTTTTTAACAGGCCAGGGATCTGTAATGTGTGTCACTTGTCTCTCAAACTGCTTTGTTATGGGTTCAACTGCTTGTTAACACAAATGCTAAGTAGCCTCACTCTACCAACGTTCAGATGGTAGGGTCAGAATTTGGTGTAAACAACATGAAAGCAATGATCCATGCTGCCTTGAATCAATGGTTTAGACTACTGGTGGCGCAGCGGTGTATGATGAAAATTGTGTTGACCACACTGTCCTATCATATCAAACTGGCTCCTTGACCATGATGATGCCACTGTCCGCAGATGGCCTCCACAGTCACCAGATCTCAATCCAACCAAATCTTTGGGGCGTGGTGAAAAAGGCACATTTGCATCACAGATGCTCTCGTGTCAGTATGGACAAAAATTTCTTAGAAACATTTCAGGAGACGTGTTGAATCTATGCCATGAAGAATTAAGATAGTTCTGAAGAAATAAATAAACAGGGGTCCATCCTTGGACTAGCAAGGAGTACCTAATAAACTGGTTAGTGCACAATTTTCAAGATTAAATTGAAACGTAGTCTTGCAGTTCCTTGATATCAACGCTGGAGGGCACACTTACAACACCATATCACTAACCTGTTAAAGCTCCTGTTAGTTACTTCAAAAACAAAGGAGGAAAAAGTATTCAGGGCAGTATGATTCATGCTCCTGCTGGAATGATATAAATATCTTTATGGTATGGTATGGTACCTTTGTTATTTAATTTTTTTTTTAAAATATTTCTATTTTTTATGAATACAAATATGAGTGTAAAAAACACACTAAAACCTAACTAACCACACTAATGCATGTAATTGACACATGTCAATTACATGCATATGAGGGAAACTAATGACCCACCTACCCAGACCTACCCAGATCAGCCATTAGTCACATATTCTGACAATAACAGAAATTATTTTTAAACACGCCGAACTGTCACAGGCTTAATTTCAGCTTGCTGAGTATGGCATAATGAAGACCAATGTTCACTGCAGGACAGACAGCACCAGTGAAGACGAGGATGTATTCTTTACAGTCGGAGAGCCAGCAGACCACTGTTCACCCTCCTTTTCCACTCCATCTGAAATTCAGGTGGCCAATTCTCCATAGAGTTGTTACCTTGGAAACAGCACCTTATAGAGAGCAACTGAGAAACACGGGAAAAGGAGCGCAGGAGACCAGACACGGACTGTGATCCAGGTTTTCATTTTGAACATAAAGGGCGATCCGTGATCACGGCTTCATAGAGGCACTATTTGTCAACTCGTATTAACTGCTGTTGCCCTTTATCTTAGTATTGCAAGATGTTCAATGACTAGATCTGGTTATTTTTATATTCTGAGATCCTTCTCTGTAACTGAGACTGAGCTGAGATCATCTCGCCTGCCATAGTCTATCAGAGTCTCTCCCACACTCTGACTATCAAATAAAGCTGAAATGACCTGAAGTAATTTCTACAAGATATGTAGATTCACACTCTGCCCCTCTCACTCACATCGAGCTGCACTTGACCTTTGCTAGGCACTCACTGTGGATCCACTAAATCTCACCTTGAAGTGTGACATCACACTCTGTAGTTTCACAGCACATTAACTCTTGGTTCACCCAGCATGACGTCCACTTTTCATCGTGCCTCTTTGCGCTAACATTGTTACTTCTCTCTGACCTCCTGCTGTAAAAAAGTGTATCTAATCAAGAACTGCACGGAAGCAGGATTTTATACTTCACACATGTTTCCATTTTAACGCTATTTTGTATTTTTGCGTCTCATTATGGAGAAAAATCGAAAACTCTTTATTGAATTATTTGTCATTGTTGTCATTCCATCCATTCGTCAGTTTTCTTCCACACAAAGTACACAAATTTAACGTATATTTTCCAGCATTTTTGACCCATCATAACTTCATACGTACAGGAGATAGCCACATGACATTTGGCTAGATGAAAAATCGATTTACGCTCCGTTAAACTGACAACAAAAACCATTTAACACACATACGTTTTCTTAGTACTATTTTGTTTAAGTATAACTAACTTTGAAGCTCAATATCATGTATTTTGTCATAAGCAAACCCCCATCGATTTAAAGTAGAGTAACAGAAACAAGGAATGGTATGAATGTTATATCGAGTTTACCTATTGTTATTTTTGTTGTTGTTGTTGTGTGTTTGTTTTGTTTTTTTGATTGACTGGTAAAAACTTGGAAAAGTGCAGTTTGTGTAAACTCTCAAGAGTCATGCAGTACAACCATGTGGGACAGATGGTTGGTCAAAAAAAGTAAAAGCATGTGAAAGGTCTGTTTTTCACTTACGTTTTGATAACAGGATCTTCTTGCTCTGACTCCATCTGTTCATGCCTTCATTAAATATACTGAAGTTGCTGTAACTTAAATTAAATTAAATTAAAAAAACAAAACAGCTTATTCTAAGGGCATCAGGTGGGAGGCACTGACATTTTTTTTAATGAAATGACCAACCAAAAAAACAGGTTCCTCCAACTTTCTCAAACCAAGATTCAGACGAGAATCTGTTTCTTCCATCCAACATTCTCTTTTATCGATGCTTATTAGGGGTGCTGGAGCCTATCTCAGCTGCCACAGGGCGAGAGGTGGGGTACACCCAGGACTAGCTGCCAGTCTGATGCAGGGCTAACCTCTTTCTTATTTCATAAAAAATGTAAATACTTGAGATAAGTCCAAATAATGCTGCTTACACATTTGTACGGGAGGACTTTGTTTTTCCTTCTTTCCCATCACATTAATCATCTTGCTGCTCCTCTGTTTTATCCTCTGACGCATGGGAGTTAGAAACTGCTACATCTATTAAAAAAAAAAAAAAAAGAAGCAAAAAAAAAGCAGCAAAGTGCTGAATAAGGGAAGATGCATCAATATTAACAATCTCATAATGGATCCGTCACAGTTTATTTCTCTGCAGATTCAGTGCTTTCAGTGCATTTCGTTGTTTTGTTTTTTTTCTCTTAAATGTTAAAGGGCATCATGTTCAATCAAGTAAATTTACACTGTAATCATCCATACACCCAAGTACAAGATCTACTTCTTTGACCACTGACGACCTCCATCCCAAGGGAGAGAGGCACTGCACCATTATTTTTCATCGATCAGCTGCACAAATGAGGATCAATCGAGAGACACCTGATAATGAATCACAAAGGCAAGGAAAAGTACGTGTCTGTTTAAGGTTAAAAAGGTTGTATGCTTCCAATACATATAATACGTGAACTTGCATTTCTATATAGTCTTTTCCACCATAGACGTATGCATGTGTAACGTCAAGGGTCCCTTGCGTTTTGCTGGTGTGCAGAAGTCACAGAAGGTGCTCAGCAGTGTGCCTGCACATAAGGCTGGTATTTCGAATCCTGACCATCCACCCACACAGTCACACTCGCCAAAGAAAACAGAGTTCACCAGCGACTACACCTTTCTAAAAGACTAGTCATCTCTAGCCTTTCATATCGCCATGGAAACACAGAGCTGGTCCACTTGATTGGCAGTGGATTAACACTGAGGGCAAGAACATTTTCACATTGGTAAAGAGCAAGATGAAGCTTATTTAACGTGAACAAAGTATTTCATATAGACAAACGGAATTAGAATAAACAGATAGATTTCTGACACGTGTTCATGATATTTCTTTGTTTTCATTCCTCTCGTTGAGGTTTTCATATATGAGCAGTCATGCTGATCCAGCTCAAGAGGCTCTTTCTGCCAAATGTGGAGGTGTCAACAATGAAAGAGAAAAAAAAACACTCTGTTATTATAAAAGTCCTTGATTATAATCACATTTTGGTAAAAGTACAAAAATATAGCCAGTAAAATGTGGAGATCTGGCTGTCTTAAAAGGGTCATAGTTGATCAAAGGGGTTTTCAGATGACTCATGTGGTAGGAAAGAATGAATATCAAGCAACCGCTTTTCTTTCTTTTTAAAAAATTCTCTAATCTTTTGCTTGAAACTCAAGTAGTTATTTAATATAGCTTAGAAAAGATTTTTGAAAAACATCTTTTGAGAGAAATCGAATCTCTATTTGAACTTAGAGCGCAATGAGATGTACTAGGATACTGCTGATTTTAAGTGGTCACATGAAAGTTTGGGAACCACTGGTTTACTATTTAATAATGTGGTTTACATCACAGTCCAGTTAAATTATTCAGTGTACCACTCCAAAAATACGTTTAAGGGTGCAGTAAAGTAAATTATAATATTAAGCGTGATTTGATGCTTCAGCTTAAAGCGCTAAGGTACCTCTGTAACTCTGGGACTTAGGTAAATGTAGGCTATAACAGTTATTGTCCTACACAGCATAACATAAATTCAACGCACCCCTTTAGATTAGATGTTCAGCTTACTCATTTTATGTCACGGGCCACATACAGCCCACTTTAATCTAATGTGGGATGCACTGATGAAACTTCAATTTCTGTCAGTGTAAAATATTTAACTGCACATGTAATGAGATATTTTAATACAACATAAAATAAGAGCAATTTCAACTTTGTTTCTTAGTTTTTCTACATGGTAAAGAAATGCTGCTGGAGTATATGTCCACATGACTCTTTAGGCTTAGATTGTAAGAAGTGATGTATAAAATTACAGAAATCTGTAACTGAATTACTTTGGTGTATTGTGAATGGCGACAAGGGAGGTTTGTATGGGTCCG